CCGTCGAGAGCCGCAGCGGCGAGACCTTTGCCACATGATAATATACAGCGGGTGTACGGGGAGAAAATTGAATTAAAGTCACTTAAGTGTTTACTCACGTTCTCAATTATACACGATGAACCCTTGGCATCGAAATAATTATCAGCCCATTGCAGCCCGTTATTCCGGTGCACATAACGCGCAAGTCGACCGTACGGCCTTAGCCGCCGTCATCGAGGTTGTCGTCATCTTCGCTATCATGAAGCGCGTTACATACATATATATATATATATATATATATATATATATATACATCACGTAGGTATATATCACATACCATCGACGCGTGCTGTATGGACCTATCGCGCGTTCATCAAATGTTACAGTGACCACAGTCCAGGGTATATTGCGATCGCGCGCGGGGGCCGCCAAGACCATCTTCCATCGATAAGAAGCGCAGTTAGCTCTAACGTAATAATTATCATGATTTTCTGTGGATCGCGGGCGGACCCCACGGTAGGTCGCGAACCCTCTACGGGACTGCGGGGCCTACGGGATCGGGTATTAGGCGCAAGAATGGCGACCGGACGAATCCGCGGACGAGATTTAATGCGGGTCTTATCCAGGAATGCCGAGCTCAAGATGCACGAGATACAGCTCTTCTATAGAGAGCCCCGGCATACGAGATCGTGTCGGGGTGGTCTTCAAATAACAGTAAATCGGTTTTATTTTCTGTTCGTACAATAACGCGATCGATAAGACGTATATATTCGCCTGTTCCTCGCTATCTTCATGTCGTGCTGATCGACAAATCAGTTCCGTCCGTGGTTTAATGGGAGTCACGAATGAGATGAGCTGTCCCGTTCTTTCTTCTATGCGCAGCTTCTTCCACGTATTTTTATATATATTTTTGCGTAACATGCTATATTCAATGTGCAATCGATAATATAAATGTTAACATCACATTTATTGCAAATAAAAGAAGTAATTTTTTGAAAATTCGGTTTTGAAAATAACGAACTCTTTAATATTTAATTCCGGTATAGAATATATAGGTTTAATAAACAAGTTTTTTCTTTTGTGTGAAATTAACATCGATGTTTTACATCGATATTAATTTTTCATGCACACTTATTGAACATATTTTTGTTTCCGGATTAATCATAGTATGCTGTACAATAAAAATAATATATAATTTCACATGAGAAGACTGCATGTTTATCTTGTAAAAACCAATTCGGTAGCAAAATCGGACGATATTTCAACCAACGCGAACAGATATTAACTTTTATATGGAATTAATTATGAAAATGAGCGAGCCGAAACGAAAAATAATGGGGAGAGGTATGATGGATATAAAATTAAAGCGGGACAATAATGAGAATATAAAATTAATACCAAGGGAGAAAGGAGCAGGGCGTTGTATGGACAAGCGCGTGCTGCAGAGAACAACTGTGCATCGGAAACGTGAGAAACCCGTAGAAAAGGAAGCGTTTTCCGCAAGCAGATCTCTCAAGCGTGGCCCGCTTAGTCGTTTACCTTCCTACCATTCGTCACGAATGAGAATGTCAGCCGCGGCGATGATACGGCTGCTACACTTGTCCTACAGGACAAACGCGAACGTCCTTCCGCCCCGGCACCCTCCCGCCCTTTCGCGCACCTTCCTTTTGTCTCATTACGCCATTCTGATTTGTCCCTCGAGACAAAGCCGGAACATGTCCCCGACCTCTTTGTAGCCTTTCGAGAGGAAGAAGTGTAGCGCGCGCGCGCGCGTGAGGCCAAGCGCCTTGTTCAACGACGCGACAGGCAGCAGTCACGAGCTCTTTATCGCCGCGTGCTAATCAAATTCAACGTGGTGGAACGGAATTAAAGTCTCTCGGTCGTTTATGCGCCCGTGATTAATCCCTCCACGATTCACCGCCCGGCGCGTCTTATGCGATTTATTATCCCTCGGCCTTGAACGAGTCGACAGATTGAACATCTCTGAAACATTCTGATTGATCAATAGACAAGAATGAAGAATAGTAGGCCGGATTCCTCTGTCGTCATTTATCATGAAATTATCGTATGCGAATTATTGCGTGCGTCTACGCCGGATGGGATCTTTCCCTACGTGGATATCTAGTCATTAGGAAACGCGCGAGTTGCGAGTACATAATGAAAACGTTAATCTCGTAACAACCTATAATGACTGACTATAGTCAAACTATTTTTTGTAAAATAATCTTTTGTGTGTGTGTGTGTGTGTGTCTGTGGAGTAGATTCACATTGAAATTTGCTCAAGGATTTATTTTAAGACTCTCTTGCTACGTGACATTCCGTAGAACGTGGCATTCCTTATTTTCTAAACGAATCAGCGAAGATATTTTCAACGCTTCACTCGACACATGACCGACGAAATTCGCAACATTCTGCGACGTAACAATGCCACCCACATAGTGCCCCCATCTCTCCCTCGATCGCTGTTTGCAAATGGGATTCCCGCGATCATACGCAAACAAGATCTCGCGAAGTTCGTAGTGTCAAGGAAGGAAGCACACTCTGCGGAAATCGTCCTGGGACAAACGTACGATGTTTCATCTTCCTGAAACGATTTACACGCTGCGTCCGCGCCGTTTCTTCCGCGGCGGGCAGGACGGTTAAGGTACGCTGAATTATCCATCGTGTAGACCGAAGATGGACACGAGAGTTAACCTCTAGTCTCGGCTCGAGACCGCATCAGCACGTTAATGCGGATAGGAGAGAAAATGAAAAAGAGGAGGAGAGAAAGACGACGTGAAAGGAAAAGAGGAGAAAGAGAGAGAGAGAGAGAAAGAGAGAGAGCCCGCCTCGCGTTCGCGTTATCTCCGCGAGTGCGCATACATTTGCTCCGCGAAACAGTTCCGTTTTCTTTACTTCTCCCTCTCTCTTTCTCTATCCCTCTTCCTCTTTGCAGCGTTGCGCCATTCCCGACCGGTAGACGAACCTAACTGTTCCGAATCGTCGCGATAATTTCGTATCTCGCATGCGAGGCGACAAGGCGCTCGCTCTCGTGCATCGTACTTCGAAACTACGTCGACCGCCCGCTCTCTACGTGCCCGGCCCTTCTCCTTCCTTCTCCTTCTCTTCCTCCTCCTCCTCCTCCTTGCCCCAAATAAATCGATAGATAATCCCGCATTACGGACCGCCGTATAGTCCGAGGAGAGAGGAGGTGTGCACGTCGTGAACTGTGTAGGGTATCTAGAAATTACTAACTAGCTCAGAGTTCACGAGCAAATGTTATCAGCGAAGGAAGCGGATGGAAATATTGTGAGGAGCCACGGTACCAAGAACGTGCGAACTCTATGATGTAAATGAAATGAGTTTTAACGCAAAATAAATGAGGAAGAACAGCTGACAAACTGTTTCTTCTGTAAAAGATTGCAAACGAGATGAATCTTTGTGAATCTTTCGTTTTAATTTTTGTCAAGCGGGAAACCGACTCTAAAAAAATGATGTTTTTATATTTAAGTAGCCATAAATATTCAAGGCACTACAAGTTGTGTGTACACGTTATTTGATATTTGATGTAAATTTATACGCGGTCTCCGTAACTAGAAGAAAAATTTAACCGCGGAAAGCTGCATCTATCTAACGAAACTTTCGCATTCGTAGGAAAGAAAGAAAGAGAGAAAGAAAGAAACAAGACTTTAGGTATTAAATAAAAATATCAGTTATACACCTTTTTTCTCTTCGCGGATCCGATTCCCGTGGTAGTCGCCGCAACGCTCCCGTATAAATCAATAAATAACGCCGGCATTATTGCAACGTAACATTACGACGTAACAACTCGCGTTTAGCCTTCCGCAAGGAAAGGAGCATCGCGTACACGTTGCGATGTATCCTCACGATGAATCCGCCGCCTTCCATCTTCCCGCCGTGTACCGCAACGCGCGGCGGTGCAGAGTTAATGACGCCATCGCCGAGAATTATACCCGGCGAGGTCGTGCGTCGTACTCTTACACGCTTGAATCTCTTTCCGGTATTATTCATTACTCCTTAATAATGATCTTCGCGGCTTTCTTTGTTTTCTTTCCTCCTTTCTTCCGTTCGCCGACCGGGGCCACGACCGTGACAAAGTGTGTGCCTGCACGCCCGTGCGAGACCGTGGAAGAGGTGAAGGGACAAGCCACGGGGAGGGAACTTACGACGGATGCACTTGCGACGTATCGCTCTCGTTTGCCCCTTTTTCTTTCGAGTCCCCGGAGCTATCTGCTCGCTCTCGACATTCGATCTTTTCCCGCTTTACTCTTAAACATAAATATAAATCTCAGGCGCACTGGAAAAGTATTGAGATCATTGGTCGTACTCTCCTCTTCTCTGTTTTCACGTCGTCGAGAACCATTGTGTGTGTGCCCGTTGCCTCCCTCCGTGCGTATACGTACACACGGGACCCGAGTGTAAGGAGATGGCATAAGAAGAAAACCTTTGCCGCGCACTACCAATGTTCCTCCGGTAAAATCGATCTTCCCCCCTTCCCCTACCCTTTCGACGCTTTATTCACTGCTCCCGGCGACAAAAGAATTTTCGATCTGGGACCTTAGACAAGACTGACTGAAAGCTCGTATATTCCATATTCTGTAGCAATAGCGTGATGCTTTATGATTTTGTCTGCGATCGACAACCACGATTCTCCCTTTGGTTAACGCTCCTGTTGACGGAAAATACAGTAATATCGCCTCTCGGATTTACGAAAAATATTGCGAAGCAATAAGCACATCCCTCCTTTCGTTGGCACGCGAAATGATCTACAGTACAACATCGAAGTTACACGGACGATATATATATATATATATATGTATTGTATATTGCCGCTCTGTGTGCAGAAAATACTTATGATATTACCTTAGATTCTTTACGATAACTACGTTACCAAAATAACGCGCGGGATCTCATCCTTTTTATAAATACGTTATATGTATATTTTAGGTATAAAGTAAATGTGTTCAATACCGAGAAGCTTCGTTATTTACTATATTCACGTGGCTTATAACATTAATGAGAATGTCGAATTTATTCGTGCATACGCTGTCATAAGCTATACGCGGAACATGTTAATAACACACAGGTGTCCCACGTATGTGCATGTACACGCGATGTAACCAAGCGTGTATACGAAGCGATCACACTCCTCAGCCGACGTTAATTATCTCTGCGCTTCCGGAAGTTGTCTCTAATACTCCCTGACACTCCATTGAGTATATTGATTACTAATGTTTCGTGGCTGCAGCATGATGCAAGTGGGTCAAGCTTTCCTACGAGCTCAAATATGACAAACAGTACCTTGACTCGGAAGATTCCTGGAAATAGGATTTATGGATATCGAGATGCACGATCCGACGCAGTTGGGAAGTTAAAAGCAAAATTTTTGCAAAAGTGTTTGTGTGCGTCGCAAATGTTATGAAACAACGCGTGCAGTGCAGAATACTGAAACGTGCGTATTAATATCTGATATTGGAAATGAAGAGATACGTTAAATGACACTGCTTTAAGTTTTTAGAACATTGCACGTTGCGATATTATCAGAATCTATTCAATGTGGAGCGTTAGAAATTTTATCTCCGGAACTATTACGAGAATTAGGTAACTGCAGTAACATCTTTGAGGCGATCATGTACAGTAATTTTTTTTAAGATTTGACTCATTACTTTTTTATAATACGTTTCGTGTAACTATTTGCTGGAGAATGGCGATCAAAGCTCTAACGTAACTCAGCACGATTTTTTCCAGGTCGTTCTATTTTTAAAACGAAATGACGTATCGACAAGAAACTCGGCAGAACGCATCGCGCCGTCTAATAAATCTACTCATTCTGCGTCGGTGGAGGTCCATGAAAAATGATATGTATTCTATCCATCTCGTCATCCTCGCGCGGATAATATTAACGCGGCATGAGGAGAGAGAGAGAGAGAGAGAGAA